AGCCGCTGCCCTCCACAAGGCTGTTCCGGTCAAACTCCAGGCGTTGTGCATGACTGCTTCCTACACTCCTGCCAAACCTAGATGGTGTTTTTTTGCTGCGCTTCCGCTCTTGAGCAAAGATCTGTCAATTGCTCAAGTGATTCCCTGAGTCCTGAAGAAAATCCATGTTTGGCTTTGAGACCAGAGGTGACTAGTGTTCACTGCTGAACGCATTCAGTCTCCCCAGTTGGAGTTTAGCTCTTAGGCTGAGATAGGGCAGGTGAGGGGGCCTAGTCATGGGTCTTCCCAGCTCCACCCCTCTTTCCTGGCCACATTGTGATTCACTTAGTCCCTGTTGTCAAACTTTGTTTTTGCTATAATGAATAACAACAACAACAAACCAAAACCTTGTGGTTGTCCCATACCCCGTAAACATGCATTTATATTGGGCGCCTACCATGTGCCATAACCCAGCTTCTTTATTCTTGTAGCTTTCTCCCTATTGTGGATAAATTTATGCATGACAGGTTCTGGGGTGCTTTGAGTTCAAGGGCGTGATTTGGGGGTAGGAGTGTGTGTAGGAGGAGCCCTCCTGGTGCAGTGGTTAAGTTCCCAGCTGCTAGCTAAAAGGTCGGCAGTAGAAACCCACCGGCCAGGCAGGGAGAATGGTGTAGCAGGCTGTGTCTGCGAGGATTGAGGCCTGGGAAAACCCACCAGGCAAGTCTGCCCTGTGCTGTAGGCCTGCTGTGAGTCTGAGTTGGTTCTCTTTCTTTATTTTGTTAAATTGTGGCGTGTGTGTGGGGTGCTGTGAGCAGAGCAACTGCCACTGCGATGATGCAGCTGATGAGTCAAGGAGGATGTGTCCCCCGCCCCCCAAGACGGAGGTTATGTAAGCGTTCCGCAGACCATGCTGGGCGATATACTATCCCTCCCCTCAGAGCTTCCAGTATGGGCTGATTTTCATTCCTCAGCTGAAGAGGAGCTTGCATAATTTGCCCAAGGTCAGCCAGGGAAGGGGCGAGTAGGTTGGCTGGCAGGCAGTGGAGGGGAACAGGGCACTCTCGTCCACTGGTGTGACTTAGTCATTCGTGGCTCTGCGTGGGTCTGCTCAGCCCCACTTTGCTCACCTTACTGAGCAAAAGAACTCACCTGTGGGAACCAGGTTCCCAGGCAGAGGCTGGACTGCTCAGCCTGAGCAGGAAGACTTCTGACGTCTGACCCCTGCGCTGTTTGTTCTCTTCTTCTCAGTTCTGTCTGTCCAGACCAGCACCCCTGCCTATATCAAACTGAGCGTGTTTCATGCTCAACTTCTGGAAGCCAGTTTTGAAAGCACGTGGAGTGGATGGTGTGGAGACAGCTGTGTGCTGATAAGTGCACACAGCGTGAGCAGGCCGGGGCAGATCTGGGGGGAGGAGGGCTCAGGGCACCCCAGCTCCACTTGTAAATCAGCGCCTGCCTGGTGAGAAAGCAGGAGGTCTAGTTCTCGTCATTTAACCCTGGTTTTAGAAAAATGCAAATGGAAGCCCAAATGTTGGGAGGAAAATTCGCCAAAGGATCCCAGTGATGTGAAGATGGGGGGGATAAACTTAGTGACATAATTTCTACACTAAGCTTGCTTTGAGATGGGTGCTGAGGACTCGCAATACCAGTATTTTTGGTTTTGTTTTTTTTTTTTGTTAATTGTGAGGAAACTGAACCTCCCAGGTCAAGCCACCCACTCTGTCCTTGGCCATTCATTAATCCTGCCTGGTAAATACAGGAGATGGGAGCTGGAGCGTCTGTGAAATGGATGAAGAAGAAGGGATCACTCTAGGATGCACTGGAAGTGGAAGAGGAGTCTACTGCCATGTGTATTAACACTCAGGGCCTTTAGTGGAGGGTGAGTTGTTGTATGCTTTAGGTGGAGTGGATTTGATTCCAGTGGTTCCAGTGCATCACCTCTGCCAGGTACTGTGCTGGGGGGGGGGGCACTGACCTGAGTGGAGGAGTGCTTACCTGAGCTCCAGAGCCAGGGAGATTACCCATGTAAGGTAGGTAATGCACAAATGAGAAAGCTAGCATTCAGATTGGCCAATATGAAAAATGCTGACCCTTAAGGAGATGTTTTCATAAGCTGATGTGTGAGGTGTGGTGTGATCACTTTGCTCATGGTAAGCTCACCCTTCAGGGAAAGCAGCCTTGGCCCCAGGGAGAACCTGACCACATCCAGGGTCCTGCCTGCTTTCTACCATCCCTGCTCCTGTTTCTGGGATGGTAATCTCCTTAGTGGCCTCATAGTTTAGGCAGACATTTGCTGTGAGTGGAGTGTTTTTTGACAGGTGGTTTGCTTGTTGGGTTTTGGGGATTAGTGATGGGAGAGGGCATTTGGCAGGGGTGAGGGGGTGGGATATGAAATGATGAGTGTCTGCCTTTCCCCTGAGGGAGAGACCAGTCTATATGTAAAGGATGCTGGGTCTGAGAGGCTGATCCTGACGTGTATTCTGTGGAGACGGCAACAGGGAAGACCCTGTTCCCTGGACTGTGAGGAGGTCTTAGCAGACCCAGAGATAATGTCCCTGGACGTCCCTCTCCAGTGCTGAATTTGTGTCTTACTGGGGGATGGGCAGCCTTGAAGAGAGGTACTCTGTACATTGAGGCCTTGATAATGCTGGCAGGGATGGAGAATGTTTAGAGCTCTTTGATGTGTTCTCCTGTGAGTCTCTTTAGGATCTATGATACCGCAGCCTCTTTTACTTCAATCAAGGAGTGTTGATGTCTTCTGCTTGGAGGAGACCAGGCCCATCCCTAGCTGTGGTATCTGTCATTTAGCTGGGGTCATTTCTCAGGGACCTAAAAAAACCCGTTCACTCATTGCCATTGAGTTGGAACCAGAAAGTGTTCAGAGGCTGTTAATCACCTGTTAACCACAGGAGAGGAGATTACCCCTCTTTCTCCTGTGGAGCAGTGGATGGATTTGAACTGCTTGCTTTTAGATTTACAGCCCAATTCCTTACCCACTAGGCTACCAGAGCTCCACAGGACTCTGGTCTGCCCTTGGATTAGATTTGTGGGGCTTGTTCGGAGCAAAAGGAGAAATAAATGAGAGAGGGAAGTCCTTAGATCTGAAAGAGCCGAGGGGATTTTGTGACGTGGCTCTTCCCTGTGCCCTGACCCCAGTGTGGGCACTGAATTTTGGTTGAGTAGGCAACAGGACGAGCTGCCTGTGGTGCCAGCTTGATCATCTGTAAGAAATAACAACAGCAGCAAAAATAGGACAGAATATGCAGCTCACTGGGCTCTTCCCAGCTCAGACACTGGAGCAAATTGGGACAGAATTAGCAAAACAACTGAAAAAAGCGACACAGGATCTGTACCATGACTTAATGATTTTAGAGTTGTGCAAATTTATGATTGTTTCTTGTATAACTTACAAGTCCTGTAGACCCCCTGTGATCTCTTTGAAGCTAAGACCTTGTTCAGGAACGTAGTTTGCAATGATATCATTCCCCTGGGAAAGTTTGGACCACTTGGCAGCTGATCACTTTTTATTGAGGGGCTCACGCTGTGCAAGGACACACCGTGAGTGTGTGTGTGTGTGTACACATATATGTGCAACTTCAGATGGGGTGAGGTTTAGTTGGGCAATTTAGATATATGGTATTTTTTTAATTAATTGACTCACCCTCTGGTTAATTGAATTTCTGGCTAATTGAGGCTAATGCTACCCTGGAGATGGAGCAGGCGTTGGAGGTGGCAGTGTCTCTGACCCCCTGTCTAGACAGAGCACATACCATGTGCTATCCGAGATTGGAGTTTTAACCCTGTATTCATAGCACGTCAAAGCAGAACTGCCCAAGTCTGAGCGCAAGGGCTGCATGTGCTGATGTTTCCTGAAACATCCCAGTGTTTAATAAGTGCCTATGGGCATGTGCAACCATCCCGAGCAGTTCTTTGATTGTTGGCTTTTCAAGCGAGGCCGTGCTTTATTGAATTTAAATTTAATTTAATTTAAATTTAGTAAATACTTGCTTGAAATGAATTGACACTTTTGGATGTGTGGGCACATGTCAGCTGGTGCAGTAAAGCACACCACTTCTAACTATGAAGTTGATGGTTCGAACCTACCTTCTGCTCTACAGGAGAAGAGGTATTGGTGTGTGTTCATAAAGATTCACAGCCTTGAGAACCCTGTGGGGCATTTCCACCCTGTAGGGTCACTCAGTGGAACGGCATTGGGTTTGGGTTTGGGTTTGGGTTTGGTGACTGCAGTTTCCTAACCAGTTAGGTTTTACTCTGTTTTTTATGAGGCATCTGATATCCTAAAAGGGGGTTTTCTTCCAGTTCACATGTTGTGTGAAACGTTGAGCGCTTTCTGGCACAGTGACTCTCCATGGGTTTCAGAGGCCATGGATCATGTGAGGAGATGACCCGTGTTTCTCCCGCAGAGCGGCTGGGGGTACAAACCAGAGGTCCCCACCTGTAGGTTGGCGGTGGATCCTCCACCATCACACCTCCTGGGCATGCAGTCGGGATGTCTTAAAATATTTGAATGAATGTAATCTGAACCACAGGGAAAATTACGATACCTCGAGAAGCTTGGAATTCTGTGCAGTGCATACCATGAAAAGCTCGGAATTCTGTGCAGTACATTATCTTACCAGACATTTTGGAAGAAGATATGTTTTATTGGCAAGAATCCCACAGTAAAGTAGCTGACTCGTGGGAATGTGTCTTTGACAGTTAATTCATTCAGCAAATATTTACCGACAACTCCTGTGTTCTGGGCCCTCTTCTCAGTCCTGAGAATGCCAAGAGGAGGGCAGAAGCCAGGCTGAACTGTTGTCGTCACAGAGTTAACAGGCTTTGACCACAAGGAGAAGCATGGAACAGCCCAGGCTTCTCTGTCCACACTGGGAAGAAGGTGCCTAGCTCTCTTAGTGGCTGGTGGTATTTTTAAATGGCTGTTAAATAGTTTTTATTGGTGGAAATCAGATTGTCCAATTAAACACATATTTGTTCTGCTGTTCTCTTTTATGCAGAAGATGGCTGTGCCTCCCACGTACGTTGACCTTGGCAAGTCTGCTCGGGATGTCTTCACCAAGGGCTACGGTGAGTGTTGCTGATGCTGGCATTCCCCGTGCATGCTGGGCCTGCAGGCTTGGTGGGGTTTTATGTTTGACAGACAGTTGAGGAGACCTGGCTCAGACAGTTCTCAGGACTTTGCATCCGGGAGTGAAGATGACCAGTAAGGCTCTTGGTTGTGCACCGAGCCAGAGTGAGCCTGTGAGCTGCTGCAGACAGGCGAACATTCTGGTTTTCTTCTTGCCTGTGGAGTGCGTCTGGATGCTGCTGCAGTGAGGCACATCTTCTAAATTTAGCCCATCCTCAGGCACACGCTCGGAGGCCCTGGGACTGTGTCTGCCAGCTGTCAGGCACCTTCTCTGACCCCACGGGGAGTGCAGGCAGCCAGTGCTTGTTCCGGCTGCCGCTGTTCCCTGGCAACTGAGCTCCACACACAGGCAGGCAGTGCAGAGACTGCACCCTCGGCTCATTGGTCAGGCCTGCTTGTGCTTCATTTAGAAAGGCAGCATTTTGAAACAGCCTTCAGGGAGGTAGAGATGCTGTTCTCCCGTTAGTTAAACTGGTTAATACTTGTATTCTTCTTTCTTTAGGATTTGGCCTAATCAAACTTGATTTGAAAACAAAATCTGAGAATGGACTGGTAAGTTGCCCAGCAGGCCTGGGCATGGGCATTTGTTGAGGTGCACACATAGCAAGGACTTCTTGTGGTGATTTTGTGGTTGTCACAGCCACTGAGTCCTCTGTGGGTGGGTGGTTTGTGGGACCATGCAACTAGACCCCTATTTCCAGCAGCTGGTTAACTCAGACAGTGGAGGCAAGCCTCAGTTTCAGTTTTCCTGTGTTTCTCATTTAAATAAAGGATCTACATCAGTGCCAAGTAATTAAATTTAACTACTTTTTTCCCCTCGTGAAAATATACCTAATACAGCACATTGCAGATTCAACAAATCAGCAGCAGTGGTCATGTTCTTCAAGTTGTGCAACTGTTCTTGTTGCCCTTTTTCAAATGATTTCATTATTAATAAGCGTGAAGTCTGAATGGCCCCTTTTAGATTGTGCATGCAGTAATTGTTGGAAGGAAGAAGTTCTGAGGTTGAATACTGCACCGTCAGCTTTTGTTCACTGTCTGAGGCCACAGGCAGGATGGGGCTGCAAGTGCCCTCTTGTTCAGACGGGGTCATGAAGAGGGAAGGAAGCTGTTTGCAGATAGAGATTTCTCCATACGGTTCCTTTAAATAGCAAGTCCTTTGACCTCCCCTCCCCACCCCATCTGTACTGTTAAGTCCCTAAGTGAAGTATAGAATTAGCTTTTGCCCCTGCGCCCCTTGCATAAAGGCAAGCACAGTCTGTGAGGGAGAGGGGCAAAGTGAAGTACGGCTGAGGAGGCTGAGAGCTTTCTCTTTCCTTTAAAGGAATTCACAAGCTCGGGCTCTGCAAACACGGAGACCAGCAAAGTGACAGGCAGCCTGGAAACAAAGTATAGGTGGAACGAGTACGGGCTGACGTTCACGGAGAAGTGGAACACGGACAACACACTGGGCACCGAGATCACCGTGGAGGACCAGGTGAGGGCCGCCTGTGAGAACACACGTGTACTAGTTCACACCCACTGATCTGCCTGTCACTAAAGCCACTGGCAACTTTCTTTTCTGTTCAGCTTGCGCATGGACTGAAGCTGACCTTTGACTCCTCCTTCTCACCTAATACTGGGTAAGCATTTCATGTTTTCTTTGCCAGGAGGGTATGTGATGTTGCGTGCAGTGGACGCCTCTTATGATGCAGGTTTGGGCGATGGGATTGGCGGTCATCAAAGAGGTGGCCTCCAGTGCCTGCAGATTCATGGTTTTATTTGATCCTGGGACCCATGCACATCTGCCCACTAAGGCTGTGCTGTAGTCAACACTCCTTGATAATTCATGAATGGTAGTTTTCTTGCTCTAGTACACCTTTCCTGATGTTAAACCATGGAGTGGTCCTTTGCTCTGTTTGAGCAATAGCTTATTGGGCTGGATATAGATTTCACCTGCATTATCCAGTTAACAGCTTGGTTGCTGTAAGTGAGGAGGACTTGAAATGGCTTGCTGCAGAAGGTCAAATGCTACAGCTTTCAATATGGATTACATCTCAACATCAGAGGACAAAAATCCTTACCCTGAGGACAGGAGGCAACATCATGATAGAAAGATTGAAGTAGCCAATGATTTCCTTTTTTTTTGGATCAACAATCAACACCCTGCTACCAGCACTCAGATCAAGAGACATTTCTGTTGCATAGGAGAAATCTGCTGTCCAGGTATCTCACCAAAACACTGAAGATCAGTGATGTCAGCCTGAAGGCTCAAGTGCGCCTGTTCAGGCCATAGTCTTTTCTGCACATCTGAGAGCTTGTAGCTACATATCTAAAAGCTGGACCATGAAAAAGGATGATAGAAGAATTGATGCCTTTGAGCTGTGGTGTTAGAGGACAGTACTGAACATCCCGTGGACGGCCAAAAGAACATGTCTTGGCAAAAGTGCAGCCAGAGTGCTCCTTGGAGGCAAAGATGACGAAGCTTCATCTCACATACTTTTGGCTTGTTGCTAGGGTGTTCCTTGGAAAGGAATATCATGTTTGGAAAGGTAGAGGGTCAGCAAAAGAGAAGACTCCGCAGTGAGATGGATTGGCACAGTGGCTGCAGCATTGTGCTCACGTGTGTCAGCGATGATGAGGATGGCACAGGTAGGATAGGGGTCAGGTCTGTGATTCATAGGTTTGCTACAAGGCATAGTTGTCTAGATCAATGACAACTTACTTGGCAGATGATAGCCAGGATGCTTGACTTTGTGCCCACCTTTGGATCTCAGGGTGCCCAGGCCAAGGTTGCTACTCCAACCCACAACCAAGAGCCCTCTTTTCTAGTGGAAAAGTCAGACCAGTGTTCACCAAGATCTGGTAAAAACATTCTGTGTTGTCGTTTGGTTTTCTCCCAGCATCAGCTGTGGGGGCCGCAGAATTTCTGCCTCGGAAGTACTCCATTTCATTGGGCTGTGGCTGCTGTGGTGTGAGTAGCCGAGGTGATGGGATGGCCGGCTTCAGCTCCTGGAAGCTTTCCAAAAGGAGTAGAAGGAATTGTTCCCTTCTGGAGCACTGTTGGAGCTTCCTGCTACTCAGAGGGGTGGCTCTCCTAAACGTGGATGAGATGGTTTTGTACGTTGATGACAGATCAAGGGCGTGAACTGAGTTTCATTACTTGCTATTCCAGGTTGTGGTTGTTGTTCTTGATTGCCTTTGAGTTGAGCATGACTTACAGCAAACCTATAAACAAAAGGCCTAAAGCCCCTTTACAACTATCGACATTTATTCCTTCCTTGCTTTTTTTTCTTTTCCAAGGAATGTTTATGAGGAAGGGTCTACTGAGTCTAGTGTGAAGTGACCACATGGGTTTGTGCAGGGTTCCACCTTCCAGGAGGGTCTGGCGTTTGCATACCTTGGCTGTAGATGATCTGAAGAGTTTACTCTTTCTCACTTCTTGAGTGTCTCCTGCGAGGAGCATTGCCTTCCTGCTTTCACACACGTGCTCGCGTGCGTGCACACACCCACACAATACACACGCACCCCTCTACCCACCCCCATCCCTTACTCAGCATCCTGCCATAATGGGAGAAGTTATCCGGAGAGACTCTCTCATTGGGGGAGGGGCTGGAGACGTGTGCCTGCTGCCTGGAGAGACAGGTGTTGTTAGAGCTGGCCCCTTACCTTGGCCAAGTTTGCAGGGGACTCTCCAGGAATACACCGTAGAGGGAAAGTTTTATCTTTTTAAATGGTTACTTTGTTAATTTTTTAGGATTAATCTTTTATTTGAAAAGAATGTTATACTTACAAAATGTTGCAAGAGTAGAACATAGAAAAAACAAAAAGTAGTACATAGCATTCCTTTGTATCTTTTCCTCAGCTGCTCCTAATAATTTTACATTTTATGTGACTAATATAATTATAAAAGCTCAGAAATGAATGGTGCTGGATTGACTAACCTGTTGTCTCAGTGACATTTCCGATCTGTGGTCCCATTCAGGCCCCAGCCTTGTATTTAGTTGTAAGGTCTTCTTTGTCTCCCCTAATCTGTGTCATTGTCTGTCATCGCCATGACACTTTAGAAGTATTTTCCAATTTACACTTGTCTGGTGGTTTCTCATGGTATTTGTGACAACAGTGATGTGCTGGTTGTGTCAGTGTGCCTGGTTATTAGACACACTAACTGATTACTTGGTTAGGGTGCTATCTGCTAGATTTCTGGAAAACTGTTGTCTTTCTCTTTATAATTATGTGAGGAGATACTTTCAGATTATGCCACGTTCACTTTGGCACATATATTATCATCTGCCTTTATTATTTATTGCTGTGATAACAGAAGTATCACAAGCAGATAACTTTAATAACCATTTATTCTCTCTCAGTTTAGGAGGCTAGAAGTCTCAATTCAGGTCACTAGCTCTAGAGAAGCCTAGTGGGTAGGGAGTTGTGCTGCCAATCCAAAGGCAGGTGGTTCAAATCCACCAGCTGCTCCATGGGACAAAAATGGTCAATCTCCTCTTACATGCAGATCAGCTAGAGGGTCACCTGTGAGTTGGTTCTAACTCAGCAGCACATAGTAACAAGTCCTGAGAAAGACTTGCCATGATTGTTGTCTCTTTGAGCTTCAGTTCATGGGTAATCTTCATGTGGTGTGGCATTCTCAGGGATCCTGGGTCCAAAGGATGCACTCTATTCCTGTCTCTTTCTTGGTATTATGAAGTTCCATGTTTAATCTCTTTCATATTTCAAAAGGAATTGACTCCACATACAACCTTCAACTCAAGATACAACCTAATCCTAGATTGAATCTTGCATCATTGACACAATTGTCTCTAACCCTACCTTGTTAGTATCGTAGTGATTAAGATTCCCCACACTGGGATAATCCCATCAGATCACAGATGGGAGGAGGGTGATATCATAGTGAGAAAAATAATAGAGTTGGGTGTTACTCTGTAACACCATCATTCTGTCTATACTTATTTGTTGTACTCTAAAATCTATGTGATTTTCCTTCATTTATTTATATAATCAGTTCTTTTGATCATGATAAATAGAACGGATTAAACTCATTGCCTTTGAGTTGGAAACTCCTCGCAGCTGACCCTGGAGAGGGCTTTCTGAGGCTGTCAGTAAATCCCATGAGACGAGACTGCCTGTCTGCTGTCCAGCAGCTCAGGGATTTGAACCGTTAGAGAGTTGAAGCCTTCGAGTGAACCCACCCCTGTCACCAGAGCTCCGTGTGGGTTTATAGACATTGGGGTCTTTTGGTGTGTGTGTGGTTTTTTTTTTTTTCACTGCTAATTCAACTTTATTGAGTATAAACGTAAAGGCAACAATTTTAACAATATTGTCGTTTCAAGTTATGCATATTTTAAGTTAAGAAACTACATTTAGAAAAGATACAGATATAAAACTATTCCAAAGGCTTGGGAAGAAATGGTTATGAAACATCATTGTAAGGTACAGGATTTGTCAAACAGAGTAGTTCCAAATTTATACAGTTCTTGCTTAGGTAATCAGCATTTCATCTTCATTCATCAGAAACCTTAAGTAGAGCAGCTTTCTTCTTATACTTATCTCCAATCTCTTGAATATTTCCTAAGAGATCTTCAGACATGAATTCTTCATACTCTTTCCCAACTTTAGCAATCAGCTCCTCAAGATGTTTCTCTACAGAGCCCATGTGCATAGCAACCATTTCTAAAAGACGTTGTAGATTATTTCCTACCTTTCGCCTTTCTTCACTTGTGTTTTGTACAACTAGCTGGTATTCT